ATTTATATAATAAAATATTTTGCAAGTAAAACTTAAAATTTTTCTTACTTTTCAATTGCACATTTTTCAAAAAATACTATTTCAAAACCTATTCCCCAAAAAATAATAATAAAAAAAAAAAAATTAAGAAGACAAAGGTAGGCTTATTAAGATGAGTGATTTATATTTCGATATTTAAGATCTATTTGACTCCAATTTTTTGCTAAGAATGCAATTTCGTATAATAGATTGATGGAGAATATGTGGTTAAAAAATAAGATATCTTTTTGAATTTACGGGTAGTATTATTTTATTAAAAAATACGTGATTAAAAAGAGAGGGAAATATGTATTTCTAAAATAATTGGATCAAAAAGGGGTAATCTTAATAATTATCACTACTAATACCCTATCAAGGACATGAACATAGTCCCTTCTGTCATCGGTCAATACTTGGAACCCCGCGTAGCCCACTTGGTTATTTTTAATTCCAAACCATTATTTTTGAAACCAGGAACGCCACCAGTATTTCAAAATCCTTTCTGACAGTTTTTCTAATCCATTAGAGTCACAAGAGAATCATTTGGTCCATCGAAATGATACCTTTTTCAACCTAATTACAGTATAAATAATGTTATTTATTACCGTAATAATGAAATATTAATGGCGTGATAATCTATTATTCATCGTATTTCTTTTTCTCATCCCCTCTCGTAAAGATTGAATTGTCAAATTTTATTATTTCACATAAATTACCATATCATCGATATTTCATTATTATAATAATAAATATCATTATTCTTACTATAATAAATATTTTAGGGGTTTTGTCAGGGACGGATTCAAGATCGAATTACTTGTCGGGCTAATACGTCAAAAAAATTAAAATTACACATAATTTTTTTTTTACATAATTTTTTTAACTAAAAAAAATCAGTTAGGGGAGGGGGGGCTATCCGATCCTGGGATTTGTTACCTCAAGTCTTCGGCTGTCAACCCCAATGTACAGTCTTATCAAAATAGAGGGCTCACACCGAATAAAAAATTCATGAGCCCCCTGTTGTGGCTGGGGGGGGGGGGAGGCGGGGTTGTAACATGTAGCGAAAACGTATTTTAATCCTTGGACAAAATAATAACAACTGTGCTACACGTTCATGATTTCTTTCACAGATTCGCAGTTAATAAAAAAAAAATAATAAAAGCTGTCAATGCTAACAATTATGTGGGAAAAAAAAAAAAAAAAGAGCCTTTCCGCATGGCTTTTTTCAAATTATAATGGGGTTTTGTCATTTGTGCAGGGGAATTTTTTTAATACGAGGGAGACACTTTTCTCCTTGGCATTGGTCAAATGTACATAACTTTTTTTGTAATAATTGAACTCCACAAGGGGGAAAAAAAACAGTAGAAAAGTCACAAAACGGTGGCAGTATTTCTTGCTCAACACTGCCCATAGTCTTTAATTCAACAAACACAGTAGCAATATCAAATATCTATATATATAGATACAATATAGCATCTTCAAATCATCTGTAAACCAATTTTTCTTAATCCTAAATACTAAAGAAAATTTCTGATTTTTTGTTTATAAGTGAAAAAAATGGAAGCTATTGATGGAATCGGCTCCGGGGTTCATCCGGCTCCAGTCCAAGCTAGCTCATCATTTGGGACTCTTGGGAGCCACTTGGCTCGGCGGTTAGTCCAGATAGGCGTGAAGGACGTGTTCTCAGTTCCAGGCGACTTCAACTTGACCTTGCTCGACTACCTCATAGCGGAGCCGGGACTCAATTTGATCGGCTGTTGCAACGAGCTGAACGCCGGGTATGCAGCTGACGGCTACGCACGTGCGAAAGGGGTTGGGGCTTGTGCAGTGACCTTCACCGTCGGCGGGCTCAGCGTTCTTAACGCGATCGCCGGAGCCTACAGTGAGAATTTGCCGGTGATTTGCATTGTCGGAGGCCCCAATTCGAATGACTATGGAACCAATCGGATTTTGCATCATACTATTGGGCTGCCTGATTTTACTCAGGAGCTCCAGTGTTTCCAAACAATCACCTGTGCTCAGGTTAGTTTATTAACATTATATCTGGAAATTTAAGTTTGCCGTACTTAAAATCTGCCTTTTAATTGATGTGATGCCGAGAAAACCAGTTAAAAAGCCGCATTTAAGCATTTGATTTTCCGATAGTTGTGAATGTTCCCAGATTCGACGTCTCCTAATCTCTCAATTGAATGATTTTCCGATAGATGCGATTGTGCGAATGTTCCCAGCTAACATGTCCATATTTGCATTTGATGTTTATTGAAACCAGTAACTCTATTCCCATATAACAGGCAGTTGTTAACAACTTGGACGACGCCCATGAGTTGATCGACACTGCAATTTCAACTGCTCTGAAGGAAAGTAAGCCAGTTTATATAAGCATAAGCTGTAATTTGCCTGGACTTAATCACCCAACTTTTGCTCGAGAACCTGTCCCATTCTATCTTGCACCAAAGTAAGTATTCTACTCTGCATTCTCCAGTTGAATTAATCCATCTTACACTAAAGTTATGGTAAATAGGAATCTGAAGCAGGATTTGAGATTATTAACTTAAACAAACTCTCCAATTGAATTAATCTATCTTGCATAATTATATAATGGATGCCTTTATGAGGTTGTGTCATGTGTACGCTGAAACCAGGTTCTCATACCTTTTAGTTTTCAAGAATTATGATCACCTAGAGAATAATTTAGAATTAAGTTATGGGTTAAAACTTCGAAAGTACTGTCAACAAAGAGAAATGAGTGTGAACACCATCACATACAAATACACTGCAAAATTTGATAAGAATCTGTGCTTCCGATGTAAATAAAGAAGTCATATTATCATTTATTTTATGGCAGGGTCAGTAATCAACTTGGTTTAGAAGCAGCAGTTGAAGCAACGGCTGAGTTTCTGAACAAAGCCGTGAAACCAGTCATTGTAGGTGGGCCAAAATTAAGGGTGGCAAAGGCACGACAGGCTTTTATTGACCTTGCGGATGCATGTGGCTATCCAATAGCTATTATGCCATCGGCCAAGGGACTTGTGCCCGAACACCATCCACATTTTATTGGAACCTACTGGGGTGCAGTCAGTAGCAGCTTCTGTGGGGAGATAGTCGAATCTGCTGATGCATACATCTTTGTTGGCCCCATCTTCAATGATTACAGCTCGGTTGGATACTCTCTCTTAATAAAAAAAGAGAAAACGATCATTGTACAGCCAAACCGTGTGACAATTGGTAATGGCCCTTCCCTTGGTTGGGTTTTTATGGCAGATTTTCTGACTGAATTGGCGAAAAAGTTGAAGAAGAACAACACTGCTGTGGAGAATTACCGTCGGATATATGTTCCTCCTGGTATTGCTTTAACTCGTGAGAAGGATGAACCACTTCGAGTGAACATTCTCTTCAAGCACATCCAGGTAAAGAGTTAGCATAACATTCTTTCTGGTTGCCTTTCTTCATATGGTTTTACTGTTGTCAAATGAAGGCAATATTCTCAGTCTTTTCTGACTCTAGTCTCTTAAGAACCGTTCTGTGTGGGCAAAATTTGTCTTGCAATATGTTATTGAGCCCTGTTCGACAATTATTATTTTCAAATTTTTTTCTACACTCATTTTCAACCACACACGTTCTCTTAAAAATCACTATTCAAAACATGGTTTTTTCCATTTAATGATTGTCAAACAGGGGCTGAGTGCAAACTTGGTTCATAGCAGGAGGTTAGGTTCGTACTTTTTTAGTTACAGTTTTTCCTGCCTCATCTATATTATGATGGGTACAGTAGAGGCAAAATTATATGAAATCGTGAGATTTTTTGGGAAGGAAATCTATAATGTAGGATAATGACTATCATTCATCATGGAATACAAAGATTTGTGATTATCGCATTCATCTATATATCATGAATGGAAAAATTGATGAAGGATCTGTCCTACGTAATACACTTCGAACACTTGAACTCAAGTTAGGACGGATGTCGTGCTATTTCTTAGGCAGGCATTTAGCAGCTAAGACTTCAGCAATTACCAATTAGAAGCGATTAAATATCAAAATGTTAGTCCATGATCAACTGCATAACAACTTCCTTAAGCTATTATTAGATTTTCTACTTCTCATGAACAACAACATGTGGAGTTCTTTTTCTTTTTTCTCTTCGATTAAAAATACTGTTCTGTTGCAGGAAATGCTGAGTGGAAACACCGCAGTAATTGCAGAGACAGGAGATTCATGGTTCAATTGTCAAAAGCTTCGTCTCCCTGAGAATTGCGGGTAAGCTAGGCTTAATATCAAATATTGATAGTTTTTGAACCATTTTTATGAAGTTGAATTAACATTTATCGGAATCACTCTCTATAACAATCTTCATCTTTATTTTAATATTTAATACAACTAAGTACTTTAACTGTATGAAAATCCCTTCTAATTATGCAAGATTCCTTTTTATACAGGTATGAATTCCAGATGCAGTATGGATCCATTGGGTGGTCAGTGGGTGCAACTCTTGGTTATGCTCAGGCTGCAAAAGATAAGCGCGTAATAGCCTGCATTGGTGACGGAAGTTTCCAGGTTTGTGATCATACCTATACCAGTAGCTTTTCATTAACACAGAAAATTATCGATATTGCTAAGCAAATTTATTCTGAAAAAAGATTGTCACTTTCATCTACTATGAAATGCACAAGCTGTGAGAATTGCCAGGAGGATCATTGACCAATAACTGCTATTACTCAGGTTACTGCTCAGGATATTTCGACCATGATAAGATGTGGACATCCAACCATTATATTTCTCATCAATAATGGAGGATATACAATTGAAGTAGAGATTCATGATGGTCCATACAATGTAATCAAGAATTGGAACTACACTGGCCTAGTGGATGCCATCCATAATGGTGAAGGCAAATGCTGGACAACCAAGGTTAGCATAGCCAAAGATTATTCTATTTCTATAACAAAAAAAAAAAAGGCGAGTAGAACCCGGAAAGAATAAATGAATCTTTATGTGACTATCCCTGTTTCGCCCCCATTTTCTAAAACTCATTTTTCTCCTAACTTTTTAAAATACATGGTTCATGGGACTTACAACTTTCATCAACTTTTAATCATACATTTAATCAACTTTTATCAAATTTTAATCTAAACCAAACAGGGATACTATCGTTTATATTTTTCCATATTAATGTATAATCAACATTTAATTGTTTGTCAATAATGTATTTCAATCAGGTAAAAACAGAGGATGAACTGGTAGAAGCAATAGCAACGGCTACAGGTAAATATAAGGATTCGTTGTGTTTCATCGAAGTTTTTGCGCACAAAGACGATACTAGCAAAGAATTACTGGAATGGGGATCACGTGTTTCTTCTGCAAATAGTCGACCTCCTAATCCTCAATAGTCATTTGATGCATCTGAAAGCTACTTCAGCGAATAATCGGAGAAACAGGAAATGGAATTTTAATAGCCTTGTTATTATTGAGTGTTGTGTTTCTATTGAGAAGATTGAATAATTGGTAAATATATGGTACCACGCATGGATTTCAGCTTTCAACTTCAAAAAAATGTTTTACAACTTATTTATTAAAAAATCAGGTCATAATTCAAATGTTTAATATTGATAATAATATCATTACAATAAATTAATCTACCCACCCCACAAACCTAATTCATTTTCAAAACCTATTCACTACCACCTCCATGGCTACTTCAAACCATGACTCTTAAAGGAGCACCCACTTTGACGACTCTTCATGGTGCACCCACTCCGTCGAATCTTCACGATGCAGCAGTGGCGTTCCTTCGTGCACTATGATCCTTTGCGCTGGACGTGGTTGCTTTGTTTGCTACAACGGAGATCTATTATTATTATTATTATTATTATTATTATTATTATTGAGTTTGATTTATTGGAAATGGATGCAATGGAATCTGTGGTTTGCGGTGGTGGATGGTTTTTTAGTGCTTTTTGTGGAGGTTTGAGGTGGTTTGCGATTGTTGTTGCACGAAGCAGGTAACAACGATGCGGTGGTGGTTTTGCACTAGTTCAATGATGGTGCGGTTATGGTGTTATGTGTGGCACGATGGTGGTTTTACTGTTGCTGTGGTGGAGCTGTGCGGCTCGATGATTGTGCTAGCGATTAAGACAAGATGGGGTGGAGTTCGGTTGGTATTGATGGTGGGAGGAGTGTGATTATTTAGGTGATTGTGACTACTAAAATAATTCATTTGTGAATAGTAAATATGTGAATGAAAAAAATAGGTAATTTTGCGATCAATAAATAATATGTGACTTAAGAAAATGTAAGATTGCGACTAAATTTTTAATTGTAACTCATAATTTGTAAAGTTATAATCAATTTATTTCATAATCAGTGACTTAGAAATAACTTGTGGCCAATTAATTTATTAATTTATGACCGTGAAACAAATTATGACCTATAAAAATTTTGTTTCGTGATCTAGAAATTATAGGTTATATAATACATGACCGATAAATAAATCGTGAGATATAAAATTTGTGATCTATGATAACCTTTAAACTGGCTTCCCTAAGCCTTAAAAAAAGGGGCTAAACTGACGAACTTACCTCTTTCTATGAGGCTCTTTTACTCGAACTTGGGTTGGCTCATCTGAATACTCCATTGCATGGGTCACAACTGAACTTTTTGGGGGAAAAAAATCATAACTTTTCTAAAAAAGAAGGGAAGTTTGCACGTTTTGTTCTTAATATTTGCGATATGATACTAATCTACCTTCAATATTTTTTTAGCAAATCGTGTCATTTCATCCATTTTGGTTGTGAAATCTGTGTAAATGATGAATATTTCCTCCTCTTTAGATTAACAAAAATAGAAGAAAGTAAATAAAAAATAAATAAAGAGATCATAAATTTGAAATTCGAGGTTGAATCTTTAATTTGGAAAATAAGCTTATCTCTGCTGCAAGGCTACCCCTCGACTGAAGAAGAGAGCAGCTTGTGGATGTCTAATGCCAGAAAAGTTGAGGGTGGATTAACAATAAATTACAAATGTTGAAAATGAAAAGTTCAAATTTCCCTAAAAGAAAGAAAATCGTTACTAAATAGTAACAATTAAAATACGCCAAAATTAAATTGTAAATTATTTTGGACGATTGTGTAGGTTTACCAACTTTTGCTTATTCTAACAATTTTGTTACTTGGAAAGTAGTCGCATACTACACAAAGCATAATATAGGGTCTGTCTGATGGAAATTATTACGGAAAGAATGTATTTTAAATAATGATTTTGAAATAATATATTTTTAGAGAATGTGTGTGAAACATGAGCTATTTACGTCAATACATAATTTTTATAATTTTATCAAAATCATGAACTTTTTTTTTTTAAATCCCAAAATCATAGAAAGGTTCAAAATGGATTTAACACACACACACACAAAAAATGAGAGAGAATAAAATACCTTTCTTGCATTGAAATATATGTAGTTCATGTCCAACATGGGATCCCATACTATATGACTTGACATTTGAATTATAAAACTACAATAGGATATATAAACCTTTGATTAATTTA